GAGGAGAGGAAGACCGAAGAACACATTACGCCAAAAAATGGAGACAGATACGAGAAGAATGAACAAAAATTGGATAGAGCTGGAAAGGAGGACCCAGGATAGAGTGGGTTATAGAATGCTGGTCAGCGGCCTATGCTCCATTGGGAGTAACAGACGTAAGTAAGTAAGTAACAGGTAGCCCAGATATTCAAACAGGCCACCTTGTGCATATACGTACACAGATATCAATTTAAATACATGTTTAACCTGTTGAAATAAGTCATTTACGAAATGGAAACTTAGTTTATATATATATATAAAGGGAACACTCAGTTTTGTTGAATACTTGCCAAAAATATTTTACAGTTGCTAAAGTTGCAATTTACTCAGTATTATTACGAATATCTTGAAATAACTGTTTCCCTATTACATTACTACTATTACTGCTTCAACTGCCACATCATTACATTTTGATGCATTGAATTCATGACCTCATTGAAATAAAAAGAAATATATTAATCATTTTAAACAATTACATTGATATGGACAAAAAAATAATGGAAATATGCTCTACTTTTATTAAATTTTTTCAACTTTTAAAATTATTGGTTATCTTTATAACATTCAAATCATATGTCTTTAATAATTAAGGTTATGTATTGTTAATCTAGAAAAGAGGATAATAGTTATTCTGTACTTTTTTTGCCTTCTTTGTGAACAATGATATAAGTTACCATGAGAACCAATGCATATTATTTAATAAATAATAGAATAAATATAATTGATAATAACAATAATATTATAGTTAATAACGCGTTCCCATCTATGAAGAAATAACATCCCTTTACAACTATTACAAATAAAAACACTTAAAGGATTCAACTGTTGTTGTTTTTTAAAACGCTTTATAACTACACTTTATCAGAAATGAATTAACAATAAGACTGTCCTCAAAATGTAATGAATGCATTTTCAAAACGTTTTGTTTATTAACTCATGTATTGAAATAATCTTTTAATAGGTGACTGAAAGTTTCTTATTTTTTGATCATCGTTTTATATGTAACAAGTTTACAGCACTTAAATTTTGTATAGTTTAAGTAAAACGAACTTTGCAAGATCTAGAATCACTTTGATAATACTCAGATATCTTGCTAGAGAGTTAACAGTTTTGATGAATTAGTGTAATCCACACAGGATGAATATATACTAACATGAAACTGATCAATTACAGTCCTAAATAACAATGGGAAGATACAAGTGAAACAACACCAAGTGAATTTAATCATAAATAATATTTAAAACTATTGAATACAAAACGAGTGTATTGTTCTAGTTAAAGGATTATTATCTGTATATCCATGATCTCAAAGATATATAATCAAGTTAAGGAGCAGTAAATGATTCATATTGCTGAAGAGTCTACAAATAGAATGAAATTATTTTAGTAGTGTATCAAATAATAACTATGAAAAACAAAATCTAGTTTCCGGCCAAAAAAACTGTCTTAACAAAGTTCGCCTGTTAATTTAGAACAGACTTGTTTCATAGTGAGCACGATACCTAACTCATAATTCAATGACCCCACATTCTCAATATCAAGGGTTTTTTGATATAATGTGATGCACATCTAATATCATCAGTAAGCTAATTTACCACTCTTAATGTGTATGACCCCACAGGGTATGACTTTCATCATAGTTTTCATCAATGGAGTTGATCGAAAATCAAAATATACTTATGTTAGTTTCATAGAGATACTGTACAGTTTATCAGTAATTTTCAACATAAATTGTTGTCTGTTCTAGAACCACTAAAAATCACAAAACATTCGACGTGGAAAACATTACTAAAATCTCAATAAAGCTATCTTAACAATTCACATCCAAACTGGTGCTTTGAAGTTCAAAAGTCTGAGATCTGTGTATTTCCATTTTCTGATGCACTTCTGTACATATCTAATCTTCCTTTGAATGAATGCATTAAAATTCCCGACATCGCTTCTCTGGGTATTTAGTTTCAAAAGTTTAGTACATAGAATTATCTGTTGTGCTTTTTTTATTTGTCTTGACGTAACTAGAATAAAAATAGGATGATATCAGGTCCAAACTTACTTTTTATTATCCTGTACATAGTAATAAAATTACCCTTTAATCTATAATATGATAGTGTAGAAAGCTCTAACTTTTCAAATTGCTCATTATCATCCAAGCACCTTCGGAATTTTATTGGTAGTAAATAATTGGTGAACTGTCTTTTGTAAGAAAAATCTTTCATATACATTACTTTACATTAACATAAGAAGTGTTTAAATTATGTTTGTAGAGGAATAAAATCCTTTTATTTTTGCACAGTTCATATGTATAAAAGTAATTTATTAGCAAATAAAGACTATGTATTTATCATCTTTAATTTACAAAAAATCACTTTACTGATGTCTATCAATTTACTGATTGAAATCATGAGTCAGTTGAATCTAGGCCACTATGGAAAACCTGGAAGCACTGGACGGCCGTTTCGTCCTAGTATGGGACCCCTCAGCAGCGCGCACCCACGATCCCGCACCCCGCGAGATTCGAACCCAGGACCTATCAGTCTCGCACCAGGCGCTTAACCAACCAGACCACTGAGCCGGCATCCAACGGTGTTAATGTCTATCAATTTAATTAAAGTCAAGTAAAGAATATTTTTGTTTTCATACATATATATTAAAACTAGTTTTATCAAATAGAACAATTAGCTAAACATTGGATATAAGCATTTGTTACACACATAGATTTTAATCTTTAAATGATAGAATTTTAGAGATCTGATATGATGGGATTAAAAAGGCAAAATTTACATTCTTTTACTCTTGAGATTTTTGTTCAACATTACTTCCACACTCAGCTGATGAGTCCCAAATGAGAAAAAAACGTGCGTACTGGGTTCAACTGCCAGCCACTATCCATCTTTACTCATAGTGCTTGTGAATTTATTATTATTATTACTGTTGGGTTTACTCAATATTATATTTCTGGTACAATATAGAATTATCAGCTCAAAGTATTTCAATGAGTTTCTGTTTTTTATCTCTTGATCGATATTAACGATAAACAGTGAGTGATCACCAGTTAGATGTTAACAGTTCACGAATCGATATCTGAATAATATTTATTCTTGTCAATGAATATTGACAGTAACCATAATGTCTCTGATTGGGTTTTTTTGTAACTTGTACAGCGAAATGTCAGAAACTTTTCATAAACGCACATGAACAGGTTATGTGAATAAAAGGTATAATGATGTGTTGAAAGAAACAAGGGAATAGATAACTTGTTGAAATATCTAGATGGAAGGAACAGGTAGCCCAGATATTCAAGCAGGTCGCCTTGGTTATTTCTATTAAGGTAATATCGAGGCAATACACACAGTATGCATATATGCCAATAAGAAACTGATCAATTGCAGTCCTAAACGTCAATGGAAAGATTCAAGTGAATTTTATACGATATTCTTGTATTAAATTAGCATGAACTGTGACATGTGGCATGCGATTTGTTAAAACGCTGAGTATTTCCCATATATATGATTTCATCCTAATTATTAATCCAAGTAGGTATATAAATCAATATATAAATGAGTGTATTTTCGACTAGAGTCGTCGTCATGTTTTAAGGGTTAATAAGTCTTCACTTGTACCAATCTTGGTTTTCTTACTTTCGTGTCCTGAGAATCGCAGTGGTCTCGCATTTTTACGAGTATAAGTAATAGGCGATTTCGACATAACAATTAGAAACGACCAGATATAACAATTGGTGCCGCATTCATAAAAGATCAAAGCTGTGAGATATTGAACATTCTGTTTTTAATAAATACAAACTATGTGTGCGTGTGCAAAATTTAGAAACTTGTATTTATTGTCAATGAATCGTAATTTAACTAAATTACTTTTATGATGACTCAAAAGATTATTTATATGAATTGATGCATAATAGTCAAGTCTTCATGACCTATAAAGCACTAATTCATATAAAAGCATATATTTTATAATGGCTAAATAAATATAATGACAAGAGATCAAATTGTGAATAACTTTCTATAGATTTAGTCGAAGATATTCGACTGACCGTCAAATAATTTGTAATTACAATCTGATACTCATCAACATATGCTCACTAGTGATTGACTTCAAGAGGTATTTACTAGAGTTCTAATGAGAAGCAGTGGCCAATGAAATTCAACCGGATCTGTTGTGAGATAGTAACTCACTGATGACAATGGTGGATGTATCTCTCAATCTCGTGGATTAGATGAATTTAGACATTACCACCGTTGGATACCGACTCAGTCGTCTAGAAGTTAAGCGTTCACACACAAGACCGATAGTCTCCTGGGTTCAATATCTCATGTGGCAGGATCGTGAATGCACACTGTTGAGTAGTCCCACAATAGGATGAAACGGTCATCCAGTTTTTCCAGGTATGACTTATGATCTCAACTATTAAACTTATGAAAATTAGTTATACAATTTTGTTTCTGCATATATTTTGTTTTGATTATTATTTTACTTATATTTCTTATTTATATTTACTATTATTCAAACGAATTATCATTTACACTCATTGGTAATTTGTTAGATAAGAAAATGTATTCATTTATTTGTTTACTTTTTAGTACTTCTTAATGTAATGGTTATTACTTTACTCTTTATTTAATATATTTTCATTTATTTATTCATTCATAATTGAATTGTATTGTAATAAGAGTATGTATATTATTCTATTGTTCATTAATAATGACCCCATGTATATTTAGACTAATAGAATAATTAATGATAGAAAAGACAATTACATTAATTTAATTAATTCGACAAATTTCCTTTCTTCTTGTTTGTTTGTTTTTCTTTTCCTTAAAAAGAAAAAAAATAGTTTAATGTATCCAATAGATTATTGGTTGATTGTTTGTTTCTTTTCTTTTCTTTTTTTTATTCATTCAGTGATTGGTTCAATTATTGTATAAATAAGTGAAGTATAGTAGTATTATTTTAATTTACTAAAATTTATTACAAGTGAGAAATTTTCATATACTTATCTTATTTACTTTTCTAAAAATAGAAATAATCTTTTCTTTTTCAAGGTAACATTTGACAAAATAAACTTTTTTTATGTATATATTTATTTGTATTCTTTATAGAATTTAGTTGCTATGTAAAATTTTATCTTATGTTTTTGATAATATTACTTCTAGATGGATTTAACAAGAAGTTCATTATTAATTGTCAGTTTATTTATCCAGATTGTATATGTTAAATCACAATCAAATTGTAATTTTACCAATCTTATCGAATGTTGCAGTATTGAAGGTGGAAAACAAGCACTAACTTGTAAGTAATTTTGTTAATATATCGCCGTTTCGTAACGAGAAAGATGCATATATATACTACTTACGCCTCCTACCCCTTCTGGAGGAATATAGGCCGACAACTAGCACTCTCCATTCTACCCTGTCATGGGCAATCCTTTCCAGTTCTTTCCACTTGGTATTCATTCTTTTCACATCTGCTTCTATTTATTTACATAATATGTTCTTTGGCCTTCCTCTTTTCCTCTTCCCTTCAGGATTCCAAGTTAGGGCTTGCCTTATGATGCAGTTCGGTGATTTCCGTAATGTATGTGTATCCACTTTGAGCATCTTTCCGTAATTTCCTCTTCAGTTAGAAATTGGTCTGTTCTCTACAAATACATATACAACAGTAATCATTGTGTCATAGTGTAAGTTTCATATTTCGTTCCAATCACCCACATATACACAATGATATATAACACAATTACATGCGATCATCTTTACTAGCTATAACAAAGGCTTATATAAGTTTATCTCCATATCAAATCATTTTTTTAAAATTCTATCTATTTCTTTTATCATTTACATTCATATTATTCTTTGAAGAAGTGCTTTATTCTAAATTTCAAAACACCAGAATATTATTTTTCTACAAACAACCTAATGAACAGCTTATTTCTTTAATATCATTAAGTCGAATCATGGTAATGATATCTAAATAATTGATCGCTTTCTTTTATCCCTGTTAAAATGTACTTAAGTTTTATAACTAAAAACTTTACGAATAATAATTACAAAAGTTTCTATAGACTGTATTGTTTGAAATAATAATGATAGCGAGTCGAAATACGGGGACGTCATATCACTTCATAAATACCTTTCTTTATATTCATCAGTTATTGAATACAAAACTACACCAATAACAAACAGTAATCAACTTTTTGATTTGAAATTATCAAGTTTAATAGTTTCCCAATATATCCGTTATGGAATTCATTTCAATTCATTTATTATTATCATAATTATAAGCTTTATTCAATATAGAATTCTCAGAACAAAGTATTTCAACAAGTTTCCGTTTCTTTCTTCTTGGTCGGTCCTGGCGATAAATATTGAGTGATCGCCAGTTAGATGTTAGCAGTCCAGTAAATGAACATCTGAATAATGTATATTCTTTTCGCTTCATATTGCCAGCGACCACATTATCTCTTATTGGGCTTTTTGTAACTTTGACAACTAAAATTTGTACACTTTTCAGAAATGCACTAGGATATGTTATGCGATTAATAGACATAATGATATATTAAAACAAACAAAAATAGATATCTTGTTGAAATATTTAGATGGGAGGAACAGGTATCCCAGATGCTCAAGCACGCCGCCTCAAGTAACAAGAATACTTGGTATGAATTCATTAACTTGATTGTTTTAGTATTCCATTGTTTTCTTATATAACTTTTATGTTACAACATTATCTTAGTGTATATATATTTCATTTAATCTCTTCCACTATTTTTATGTTTACATATCTGAAAGAAAACACTAACAATAAATAATTAAAGTGAGCTTTCCTTTCAATAAACTATCTTTATTCAGAAATGTGAACAATTTGGTTAAAACAAATTTCTAGTTTTAGTTATTTTTCATCTGTTTTTTTCTCCTTTACATATTATCATAGTTATTCAAAGTCAACCTATTGGAATTAATACTGAACAAGTCGTAAAATACTATACGGATTTGTGCAAGTTTCGTACGTTGTATGAACAGGCATCATTTATTAAAGCACAATATGAAAAATTATCAACTGCAGATTTAACTACTATGTTTACTACACCTAAACCTACACAAAAATCTACTATTACACCTAGAACTACACAGAAACCTACTATAACTACACAGAGACCTACTGGAACTAGAACTACACAGGAAACTACCGTAAGTACACAGAAACCTACTGCAACTAAAACTACACAGGAAACTACCGTAAGTACACAGAAACCTACTGCAACTAAAACTACACAGGAACCTACCATAAGTACACAGAAACCTACTGCAACTAAAACTACACAGAAACCTACTTATACTATACTTAGAACTACAGAAAAATCTACTACACAAATAATGAACAGAACTAATGCTCCATAAGTGTTCGAATCTTCACTGGGAATAAATTTGGACAATGTCAGGAGTAAAACAAAACAAACAAAAAAATAACCCAGTTCATAACTGTAGCAATGTAGACAATTAATTAGTAAATACAAATATATAAATTACATGAATACTTTATTACTTATACATTTATTAATCAATTTTTTGTTATTAGAATATGATGGGTTCTATTAGAAGAAATTTAATAACTGACTATTAATATACAAAGTAATGTTTAAGATGAATAGGCTTAACTACTGTTTAGCGCATTACTATATTAAGTACGCAAATCTAGTGATGAAAGTACATTATTCAGAACGTTTCATATGGATCGACAATATTTCTCTGAATTGTTAACAATCAGTAATTAAGCATATATAAACTTTACTAGGATAGTTTCTGTCTGCTTAATCAAGTTCAACTACTTGTAATGATTTCAGGCTTAGACGATATTATCTTCTTCGGAGTAAACATAACAAGTAACAAATTTAAAATGTATAGCCCATATCATTTGGAAAAAAATACTTTCATTCCATATTTGGAAAAACAACATTCAGTATTTTTCTCTAGATGATGAGTTGTTCCTAAGGAATCTGTTTATAAATGTGTGACTATTTATGAGTTTTAGATTTTGGAAATGTCTGTTTTAGACTTAAAAAGAAGAATTATCTTTGACTTACCACCAGTTATGGATATATAATTAATAGTGAATATTAACGAGATTTCAAAGGATAGGTTAGTACCTGACGAACTTAATAAAAAGGTTAACCGATAAGGATTACTGGCAGAGCATAGTTGACTTTGAATACCATCAATCAATCTTCCAGTTGTCTACCCTACTGAATCAGATGTCCCAGGGAATACGACTTTTTAATCAATTCTAATCACAGAGACTTAGAACAAGCTTTTACTCAAATTCAGTTAAAACAGCTTATAAAACTCATATCCAACCATCTACTGAATAATGTGCGCTTTTTAGCTTGCAAATATGTCGCCGTTTCATTTATTCATTTCAATTATCCCCGTAATTAATCAATGTTGATATCTATAGTGATTTCTATCGTTTATTGTTCAAGAGAATTACCTACAATTATTTTATGCATATTATTACCACTCTCTAGTTGAAATAAACCTTTAGACTGCAGAAAGTCCAGAAACTTGAATTAAAGCAATTACTTGTCATACAATCACTGCATTATGTTGAACACTTATGCAAATAACAAAGTACACAAACGTTTTATGAGTTTTTTCAACTCTAATGTTAGTAAAGTTGAATCATTACAGCTCCCTGGCTTAGTACCATTTCCTATTGCTAAATATAATCTCTTTCACAATAGTAATAGTTTTTGTATAGTGATGTATGGCTAATAGGTTTTTTGAAGGTTAGTCTTGTTAGTATTTACTATTAGATTGTTATTATTGGTAAAGTAAAGAAACATTAAAATACTCGCCCAACTAGTATGAACTTCTCTGTTGGCTTTTACAATTTATTTTTTTAAATTCCAATTTATTCCTTAAAAAATACTAAGGGAACACCATCCAAAAACAGCTAAATATTTTGTTACATCCCTGAAATTTATTGAAACTTCCAAGTCTAGATTATTGCGCTGATTCCGAACAAGTAAAATGCTTTCAAAATAATCTCGTCCAATCGATCTCTGTGGTTCCTGACAATGAATGTTTTCTGAATATACTTTATCTTATAACTCACATACACACTTCATACTTTGACGAGCTCCGAAAAATGGTACCGTAAGAAATTTGTCAGTTTTTGCAAACTCGTTTTATCGTTCAAGTTTCAACTGGTAATTTCCTAAAAGTCATGGCATTACTTCATTTTAGCTATTCATTAACACTTACTTCCTAATCTATGTATCAACTCTCAAGTATGAACCGTTGATGTAGCTTTTAAGAGGCAGGTTTTTGCAAATGTTAACGATACTGCTACCAAGAAGAGAACATTATGTACTTAGATGGAATAGTAAATGTGCAAGACGACCGAACTTAGTGATTGTGATATAGAATAGCTGGTTAAGTGTGAAGTACGTATAAGTAGCTCGACACATATGATGTGATATCGAAACTGTGCTGGTACTTGACTGAGTACCTCTATTTACTTTACTCAAATAAAACAAATAAGGTCAAACCGAAGTGTTAGATACTTATAGAATTACTTATATCATAAGTTTCTAGAAAGTCTGTCTATCACTGAAGCTAAATCTAACTCAAATCCGGCAAGAGATCGAGTGTTCTATTTACTCAATGATGCTAATCTAAATGTTTGATTTAATTTAATTTACTGAATCTCATTTAAAACTCCGAGTTTCGTAGATATTCTTTTAAAGGAGTCAACAATATAAATTACTACTATAATTTCTGAGTTTATTTTAGTTGGAAAAACGCTGACATTTGCTTATGTATTAAGCACTTGGACAGGATATCGTTTCCGTCATTTCTAGAAATGTATGATTTGAAATATTAAATAATCAAGAAATTTGAGAGATGGGTGTTGGCTCAGTTATCTAGAGGTCAAGTGTTCGCAAGTGAGACTGAAGGCTCTGGGTTGGAATCCCACTAGCAGGATCGTGAATGCGCACTGCTGAGGAGTCCTACAATAGGACGAAGTGGCCGTCAAGTGCTTTCAGGTTTTCAATGATGGTCTAACATGATCGCAATCAAAAATTTGAGAGAATTGAACTTTATAGCTGATCATGTTTATTCTCAAAGATATGCCATTACATAATTACTACTGTGAAAATTTTATATTTTTTCGATTGATACTAACCACATACAATTATTTACAATTAATTTAATGAAATCTATTGAACTTTCTCTGATTTTTTCGACATTATACAATTGGGACCAATACTTAACTATTATCTACACAACTTGAGAAGTAAATGAAAGTAGCATAGCAAAAGCTGGTTAGTACCTACATTTGTAGTGAACGGGAACACAAATGGAGACAATCGAATGTATTTGAATACCAAATTACAGAACACAAGTAAAATCTGAGAACCATACAGTAAATACTTTATTTACAAAATGTCAGTCAATCGTCTCAGACTTCATTGGTCTTTCGTTTCCACAACAATGATTCTTTGCTCGCGTTCTCTTTTCTTTCATCTTCCTAACCTTCTGCCTCCAGGCAATTCACGTCCGATTGATGATGCATACTACTTATATCTGTTGACATCAGTATCACACACTAAACATTTACTAAGAAGGACTACCTGAATTCCCCTTTTCACTTATTAAACGTCAATGATTGAAGGAATTAATACAGTGTTAATACATGTTTCTGACCAACAATTTTCTTTACAAAACTTATGAGATTACATTTCATATGGTCAAAAACGTCCAGTTACTAGTGTCAAGAGACTTGTTAGTTAGTGTTTAGATTTACTTTAGACTGTCCAATACGTTTTCATACATGTTGAATAAAAGTCGATCTCAATAAAATCAATAGGAATGTAATTTTACAAATTAACTGATCGGGAGAGAATGGAATTTTGTGGTTCATCTTAAGACATTCTCTATCAGAACTAGAATGTGGTTAGTATTTCAAAGAATTTCTTGTTATATTTCATTCCGTTTGATTTTAGATATCTGGATTCCATCAGCTCTTGTCCTTGCTTTTATACTAGTCATTCGGTTATGCTAACAATTCATTTCAACCTACTACATTTGATAGAACTATCAACATCTCATCCTAGTCTACATTTCTAGATACGAATTACGATATTCTTTATATTATTTTCATCAAGATATGTGATCATTTATGACTATTGGTCATAATAATCATCACAGTTATAGAAGTAAAAATAAAAAATAGTTTATCATATTTATTTGTTAAAATACAGGCTACTTTACTTTTGTAAGTAGTATAACCAAAACAGTTTTTTCACCATTTAGAACATAAGAAAAATAAAATTATAGTCGAATGTGACTCTTCGTTAAACGGTACTGAGTTCCCACAAATGCGATAAATAGTTAAACTATTTTTATTAAACTGAACTACTTTTATTGTTACTTGGATTCCTTGGAAAGATTATTCGATTTCGCTTTTAGATACTTCTTGCGTTAAATCTTTTTCCCTAATACCTAAGTACGTTCAGATAAGAGTTGAAAATTGCATAAAACATCTGAACTAGATTCCATCTACTGATTGGCATCAAATATAAACACTTTTAGATATTCACTTCATATGAAAGGTCAATACCTCAGTTTTTTAATTATATAACAATTCAAACATACGTTATCTATAAATTAAAATTATAATATACCAGATTGAAATTTAACTATTCATATTATTCTTCTGAATTCGTCTATGAAAGACAAATTATCTCATTATCTTTCGTTCTTCAGTAATTCAGTAAGGGCCAACTGGTCCACAACACTTGATATGTACTATTTGTATGCTTGCCTGCTTGAATATCTGGGCTACCTGTTTCTGCCATCCAATTATTTCAACAAGTTATCTGGGTTTGTTTTATTTTGTTTTAACATCTCATTATGTCCATTAGTTACATAATCTATACAGGAGCGTTTATGAAAAGCCTACGACCTTTCGCTGCACAAGTTACAAAAAGTACTATAAAAGACATCGTGATGGTTGGCAACATGCGTTAAAGAGAATGAACATTAATCGCATGTCGATTCCCGAGCTGCCAAATTCGAACTGTCGATCACTAATCAACAAAGTGGACTATCTGCAATTCCTACTAAATCAAAATATGTATCATAATTGTGGTGTCATCACAATTCAAGGATCTTGGTTAAATGATTTACAGGATGACTGCCTAGTATCACTACGTGATTTCATAATTTATCGTCAAGATCGATCAAACAATAAAAAGAGGAGTGGTGGCGGTGTAGCTACGTTTGTAAACATAAACTGGTGTCGATCTTCGTTTGTGTGTTTTAAGTTTTCAAATGACGTTATCGACTGTCTAACTCTAAAATGTCGTCAAAAATATCTGAATAAATACAAATATGTTTATGTTACGAATATCTACGTGACTCCAGACTGAACATCATCTGCGCTATCTGTTTTCGCTGATGAATTCACTAAGTTCGCTGTTACTGCCTTCAGTGATTCACTTTCAGTTGTATGTGGTGATTTCAAT